TTTCAAAACAATCCTGTGAGGTGGGTGTTCTTGTTGTTCATGTTCTTTAGGTGGGGAAACCAGGGTCCAGAAAGGTTCAATGACTTGCCCATGGTCACAGCTAGGAAATGAAGCCACATGTAAACCCAGTCACTTTGGTTGCAGAATCCAAGCTCTCATGCGGGGCAGGGGCAAAGGGTTGGTTGATCTGTAGCTCTTTCCCCTTCCTGTTGCCGCAGATCAAAATGGACTCGCAGATGACAAAGCAGGCGCTGAATGAGATTGAGACGCGGCACAACGAGATTATCAAACTGGAAACCAGCATTCGCGAGCTGCACGACATGTTTGTGGACATGGCCATGCTAGTGGAAAGCCAGGTACCGGTCCCCACGGTCCCACCCTGGGAGTCTCTCTTCCAGCCCAGGCCCTGCCCCTCCCCATGGGACATCTCCTGTGTCTGCAGGGTGAGATGATTGATCGTATTGAGTACAATGTGGAACATTCTGTGGACTACGTGGAGCGAGCTGTGTCGGACACCAAGAAAGCTGTGAAATATCAGAGCAAGGCCCGGAGGGTGAGCCTGGGTGGGCAGCCAAATGGGGGCTGGTAGGGGGTTGGGAGCAGAGTGGGCGGGCCTGGGCCTGGGCTTAGAGGTGAGTGATGACATCAAGTGGAGGCCATATCTCTGGCTCTGACCTCTTCCTATTTCTCTTTTCTCTTCCCTCTTCTTCCTCACACCCTCCTCCCTTATCTTTTCTCCCCATCTGTCTGTCTGTCTCTCTGTGTGTCTCTCTCTCTGGCTCTGCTTTTCCCCCACCTCTTTTCCGGCCTGCAGAAGAAAATCATGATCATCATTTGCTGTGTGGTGCTGGGGGTGGTCTTGGCGTCGTCCATTGGGGGGACGCTGGGCTTGTAGACCCCACACCCCCATCTCTCCCAGACCCCTCCCCCACCACATTGGGAGCAATACCCCCATTGTCCCTTTTACTCCATTTCCTGCTCCAGGCTCACCCCCAAGACAGACCCAGGCAGCCCCACCCCCACGTCAGACCTTGGAGTTCCTGGTCCTCCCCC